ACAGTCAGGTCCTTGAGGTGCCTGGGGTCAAGGAGTGGGTGGAGGTACACATGGCTGGATGGGAGGACGCGAGGCCGTGCTTTGACACCACTGCACAGTGGCTGGACGGAGGTCTGGCCATCACGTCCGGGATCCTGGATGTCTGTTCTAGAATTCTAGCAAGATCAAGAAACATGAAGGAGACAGAGTGTCTCAGAAGAATTGAGTAGGCAGAAAGCAACATGGAAAGGCATCCTATCTCGGCAATGGTGTGGGCAGCAGAGCGGGAAAGGGGAATGGCAGAGTGGGGCAAGATTCAGGAGGACAAGCAGAGGAGATGGTTGGAGCTGCTCAAGGAAAAAGGGTAGAGACAAACGACAAAATGTGCAAAGAAACATTCCAAAAATTGTAGCCAAAAAGGACACAGCAACAGATGATCAAGTTGAAACATTCGTTTGACAGCGCAGCCCCCTCGGCCTGTTCAGCAGCTGGAATGTTGCGGTATGCCAACCTATATTACGCAGACATCCTGACAACCAGGCGACCCAACGAGGACATAGACACGGACCTGACACAACATTCGGACATGTGGTTGGACACGACGGTGCAATTAGACATAGCTGCGAGGTTAGACATGGACAGGCCATTCACCTTAGAGGAACTTACCCAAACGGTTAAGTCTATGGCGAAGGGGAAATCCCCCGGGGTAGACGACCTCACGGTGGATTTCTTCATGGGGAGTTGGAATGTATTAAGTCCCTTGTTGTTGGAACTGTATAACGAGGTGTTGGTAGGGGGTAGACTGGGCAGAGGGATGACACATGGAGTCATCACGGTCATGTTCAAGAAAGGAGACAAGGCCGAGGTTCGGAACTGGCGGCCAATCTCCCTCTTGAACGTCTCGTACAAAATACTAGCAAAGGTCATTGCGCGCAGGCTGTCCAGACACTTACCGGGGCTAGTGGAGAGAGACCAGGGGGCGTTTGTGCAAGGCAGGTCCATATTCAATAACATAGTAACCACAATCGAGACACTTGAGATCGTGCAGGAGGAGGGGCTGGACATGGCAGTGCTCCTGCTGGATCTAGAGAAAGCGTACGACAAGGTAGGCTGGACATTTGTCCTCACCACCTTGAAGAAGATGAGCTTCGACACGGGTTTCATTGCTTGGGTAAAAGCGATGTACACAGTCTCATCTTCGGCGGTCATGAGCAATGGGTACCTCTCGAAGCCATTCCAACTCACCCGGTCACTGCGGCATGGTTGTCCACTGGCTCCGCTGATCTTCGTACTGCAACTAGAGGTACTGCTGAACCGAATCCGACGAAACCCATTCATCCGAAGTCTCTAGCTGCACAATGGAGAGGAATGCAAGGTGAAGGCCCTTGCGGACCATCTGTTCGCAGTGTGTGAAAACACAACCACCTCGCTGTCTGCAATGAAGGACATCCTGGGAGAATACTCCGCCCTCTCAGAAGCCACAGTAAATTGGAGAAAGTCTACGTATCTGCTGCCGTATCAGTTCACACTCAAAATGGAATGGGGGATGCAACGGGTGGAGGAAGGAGAAGAGGAAAGGTTCTTGGGGGTCTTGGTGAGCCTGCATGTGGTTGTATCAGCATAGGGTCTACAGCTGCAACAGCGGATCTCAGCTCGCCTCACCATGTGGGAAACCACCTGGCACTTGTCCCTAGTAGGACGAGCCCTAGTGGCGAACGTAGCCCTGTTCTCGATTCTGTGGTTTGTAACGACGATTAGATAACTGGCCGCAGGAGTAGTGAAGGCAGTTAGAAGATTGGTGGCACGGTTCCTATGGAACCCACGAGCTCAAACAGCGGAAGGCTTCATATCTAAGGTAGCCTTCGACACCATCACCTTCCTACGAGAAAGAGGAGGGTTGGGAGTGGTGGACCCCGCCCGGAAAAATCAAGCGCAGCTACGAGGATGGGTGGCCAAGGTAGCTAACATGAGCACCCGGGAGCAATGGATGGCGCTGGCGGAGAGAATTCTAATGAGAGAGTGGGGTCTGAGCAGACCAAAGGACGTATGGGCATTCTTTATACCTTTTTTCATGAAAAAGAAGCTCAAGTCCGGGTTTTGGGAGGCAATTCGCAAAGCATGGAAACAACACCCTCCGGATACTCAGAGACCTCCAACCACAAAAGAAGAAGTCCTAAGCCAACTCCTCTTCGAGAATACTGCAATTCAGGACCAGGTGGGTAACCAACTCCTAGCTGATGGGTCCCCGGGGTCCTTCGGGCAGGCCTGGGTCAGGCACGATGTAGTTAGAATAGAAGATATGTGGTCGTCTACACTGGGGGGATGGAGGCCGATGGGGGAATTGAGACAGAGGCTCTGAGGGCTTCAGCGGGTGGAAGAGCATCTACACGTGGTGTTGGACTCCATCCCAGCGGACTGGCTGGCTATCTTAGGTCCGAAGGGAGTGGATCCGATAGGTACCTGGTACTTGCCTAGTGCAGAAAAGGAAGGGGACATTTTGTGGAAGGTGAAGGAAGTCCTGCCCAGCGGCTTCAAGAGGATTGAGAGATGGCGAAGTGAGGGTAACTCGAACAACCTGACATTCATTGAGGAGGAGACAATAATAGCTTGGGATAACCCGGCTTAGGTCAGAGTGGTGGAAAGGCGCAGCGGTTTGAACGTAAACAGAACGCAGTCGTGGGTAGGCAGGGCCGCGCTTCGCCAACTAAGTATAGATCCAGTGGCGTGGAGTTGGTCACCCAGGACAACAAAAAAATCACCCCTCAGATTGCTAGACTACATGGTGGCACAAGGTTACCAGCAAACAGCTGGTAAACTGAAAACGTCGGCGGAGATAGCTACCGCTAGATGGCAGGTGGTCTGGAGTGAAGACTTATCACAAGCAGGATCGGAGTTCAAGAAACTTTGGGAAACCTTGTCACTGTTACCTAACGGTAAACAAGTGAGCCTGCTCTGGTTGTTGTCCTTGATGGTCACGCCATCCACTGTCTGGCTTGTGAGCAGGGGACTCGGAATGAAGGTGGAATTGGGATGTTCGCGTTGCGGGTGGCCTTTCGAGTCCACCCGACACGTGTGGTGGGAATGCCCAACTTCGAAGCGGATCTGGAAATGGTGGCCCTATCACTGGAAGAAGTTTGGAGACCAGGCAGTAATCTGGGAGGAGAAATGGATACTACTGGGGTTCCTACCAAGCAATACGGTGGGGCATCGCGGGTGGGGTTATGTGGCTCAGGTAATCAAATGCCTCATCTGTGAACTGATTTGGAAGGATAGGAACCGAGCGCGATTCGAAAAGAGACCGCTCTCAGATCCGAAAATTAAAGGTCTCATCAAACAAGGACTCAAGCAAGCAATTCGAGTGGATTGGAGGAGAACGAACAAGGGAGGGAAAGGCAACAGATTGCAAAGGAGGTGGTTTGTGCGCACCTAGGCCAGAAATTCACAGTTGGCTTCAGCTCAGGGAGGGACGAGACTGCAGATCTCCAAGTGGATATTAGAATTGGACAACCTAGGCGGTTGACAGAAACAGTGCTTTTAACCTGGAAGTACTAGGGGCTCGTTTGGACCTGTGCAGGCCAACCGGGCCTAATACCAGGACACTCGGTTGCGTAGAGCCGTAGTAGGCTATTAGGTGAGTGTCAGTAGGATCAGGACTTGACCAGGTCCTTGGGCCTCATTAGTCCCAGAAGGTAGTCAGAAGGAGGGAGCTAGTAGTAATAGAAAGGGGACTCCGAACACTCGAGGTCGCAGCGGGGGGTCACTAAGAAGCTACCGAGAAATTAGTTAACCAAATTTGAGTTGCACAGACTAGATACCTACCAGGCAACAGCAGTAATACAGACGATTGGTTGGATATCCCAAGGGCTCAGGGAAGGCATCTTGAAAGAAGATCAGAATTTAAAACAGAGGATGTTGAGGATTTGACTCCAGAGTAATGAGGGAGGTATAAATAGGGAGACGGAGCGGTAACGGACTTATCCGCAGATAGACAAAGTAAATTTGCTCCATTAGCATAGTTGCTCTAGATTGAGAGAGTGAGGACCGTAAGCTAAACTGGTTGAGGCTGCCAAGATAACTATGTGATTCCGGGTAAAAATGTTGGGACCCCGGCCCAGTCTTTTAAATATAAATGCATTCGTTGTTCTATTTATAAAAAAAAAAATAAAAAAAATAGCGGGCCTCCGGTGGGCCACCGACCTTTTCGGAGACCGAAACGAAACGACGGCCGCCGATCAGATTTATCAATGGCAGTTGTCGTCGGGCCCGACCTCCGAAAATTCAGGCGATTGGGAAAACAACCAGTTTTCCCTATTTTCCCAGCGGGAAAGGTACTAGCTCAACCAATTCAATTACCTGTCAATGAAAGGCAGCGGAGTGCGAGGAGCGCTACAGCCGGCGCTAAGCGCTCAGCCCTGCGCTACAGGGTTGCTACGCAACCCTACGGTCTACCGAGCCGCTACCACCAAGATAGCGCCTCGGAAATCCCGACGTCTTCCCCGTTCACATGGTGCGAAGCGGCGAAGGCGGTGGGGCACTCACTGTCTATAGCCGAGTTTCGGGTTGAACGCCTGACGCACGTCCACGGAGTCACGACAGAGAAGAAGGGGTCGAGAATAGGCCAATAGAATTGAAGAAATGCAGAATAGAGGAGACATGAGGAAAGTAGAGAGGTGGTATGGAGGAAGAAGAAGAAGGAGGAGGGATTGCCACAAATGGGAGATCACCACCACCAGGACCAATGGAGGAACAAGAACACTGGGAAAACGAAGACCGCATCTGCTTATTGCTAGCACTCTGCTACGACGATGGGGTGTACCCTACGGACTTAGACCCAGGGGAAAAGTCAACAGAGGGGAGGGAAGTCACGTTCACTTTGAATACATCACTCGATACAATAAAGGTGAGATGGATAAAGGAAAGAACCGTGTCTGTTATATTTAAAGATAACGCACGGTTTCTCCCAAAAAAGGCAAGGATGACACCATCAGAGCTTTTGAAGACGGGTGGATAATCGGAGCCGAGCTCTTCCCAGCAGAAGATAGGAGAGGCAATGTTAAGATCGAAGGCCCAAATGCTTTATCGTACGTGGTGAAGTCAAGACAAGTCGCTGAGTATATGATTGACGAGGGAGGAGTCGACATTCCGGCGGGAACAAACTCATACAAGGTGTTGTTCAAGTCATGGATGACTAGAGCGGAGCTTAGAGAGTTGAGGAGACAAGAAGACGAAAGAACATTTTGGGTGGTGGCAGTCCAGATACCACTGGACGACATGTCGTTCATTTATTCTCAAGTGGAGAGGGCGATTGGTCGCACCATTCAGGCACACCCACCGGATGCGAACGCACTGAGGCCTGCGCTGGTGAACGCAAGGTTCGACATCGACCCAGACGCGAGAGGGAACATGAAAGACAAGATACGAGTTAAGACATCAACGGAAGACCTCCTGGAAGTGAAACTGGCATGCTCAACGACGATGAAGTGTCAGCGATGCAGGCAATTCTTCCACAAAGAGGCGGACTGCAGAAGGAACAACAAACAATCAAACGGGGAAGAGGAAAACGAGCAACAATCAAACCAGCGAGTTTCAGCGCCTTCAGGGACAAGAGGAGGAAATTCGAGATCCGGAAGACCACAGTATCAAGGCCCGCTAGGCCCACAATCATCACTCAGTGAACTGAACGGAGGAGGGGGCACACAGGGATACCGAAGGGTAACCCTCAACCCGGTGTTCTCACCTATGGCGAATCCGCTGCCAGGCGGACCACGAGGTTACATGGACTCGACAACATCCAAGCTCGAAATGCCCTTCAATCTTGGAGATGGACCTCAGTATGGGGGAGGCAACATCCAGGGTGGAGGATACGGATTGAACGGAGGCGGAAATCTTGGCAGCTACGGAAGTGGCGGAGGCCTTGAGAACTACGGGAACAACGGTGGAACAGGATTCTACGGGATTGATGGAGGAATTGGAGGAATTGGAGGAATTGGAGGAATTGGAGGAATTGGCAACTACACAAGTGGAGGAGGAATAGGGATCTTCGGAAGCGGACCATGATTATATGCGCAAGGAGCCTCGGCCTTCCAGCAATATCACACACAACAGGCCATTTCCTAGGTAAGAGGAATTGGTTGGGGTGGCGGACAGCTTGCAGGAGAAGGACGACAACAGGGAACTGGGTTGGGGTATAGATTTCATACACCCCCAGCGACTCCCTGATCAGAGAACGGAGTAGCGCGCTTCGGGACAAGGCAAGAAGGAAACACAACAGGAGATCCAAACTCGCCACCGCAAAGAAGTGGCACTGAAGGACAGTCACGAGGACGTTCGCTGGGGAAGCAGAGATGTACAAGCATGAGCTCGGTCAAGGAGCTACGAACCGAAGCATCCGGAGAATCAGCAACACACTCCAAGGGAGCAGGCACGCCATCAGCAACTCCAGGCATGAAGAGCACGAGGGACAGGAGACTGGCCTCAGTGGCCAGGGGACATTCAACGGGGATGAAGCAAATCGTAATACCATTGGCCTGCACGCTAGCCAGGAATAACCTCTGGGTGATTGCCTGGCAGACAGGGAGCAATACACTAACACTACTCTCACAACCGACAACGGAGGTACCAACACCAGAATCTACACTGCACTGTGTTAGAACAGTTTTCCTAGATTACTTCCCATTGAGAGTAGTACCGGAGAGCCCGATGGCGAGAATAGTCACAGACGTGTCCGGAGTAAAGGTGAAATTGTTCGTCCCGTTAGTCGATGCGAGAATCAATCCGGACAACCTGAGCAACCTGGAGAGGTTGGGGTTACGGCTAACTCCATTAGCCTGGTTCGTTGAAGGCAGGAAGCAGGAATTATGCAAAATTGCATTGACCCCGCGACTAACAGCTGAATGCTTAACAAAGTTAAAGACCAGACTCCCAAAAGAGAGGAGACTGGACTCACAGTTCATTAGGGACGCCCTAACAAGACCATGGACCGAAGGAAGCACAACGACACAAAGGGAAGAACCAACGACGTCATCCTCGCACATCCAAGCGAGACAAGGATGCTCAAGGACTAATGAGTAGACTGAAAATTGCCACGTGGAATATATGTGGGTTAGGAGACACATCTGGAAGAGACAAGAAAGTCAGACTCAAACGCTGGATACACGAAAAACGAATCTCGATTATTTGTCTTTAGGAGACAAAGTTGATCGAGGAGAAGATAAGGAGTCTGGTGAATTGGTGGGATGGACCACAAGTTTGGTCCCCTGCCCAAGGTACAAAAGAAGGCGTAACAATCCTAGTCCACGAAGATCTGAACGTGGAGATTATCGATCATTACAGTGATTTATGGGGTCATTGGGCGTGGATTAAGCTGGGAAATGGTCAGACAGACTGGGTCATAACCACTGTGTACGCTCCGGTAGTTAGGAAGGAAAGGGAGAAATTCATGGAAATTCTTCCATTCATGCTACCAGATGTAGACAACCTCATTATAATAGGAGATTGGAACCAAACTCTAGACGAGAACAGGGAAAGAGGTAAACGAGACTCCACATGTGCAATTCTGCCTATTACGGACTTTATGACGAAATTTCATCTGCATGATCCGTATCGCGAAATGCACCCGCTGGACAGAGGTTACACATGGTTTTCTCATCAGGGGAAAGGTAGAAGACAAGATTACTTCCTTATAAATGAGGGACTACTCAACACAGTACAGAGGATAGATTCAATTAATCACCCGCTATCTGATCATAACCCAGTCACTATCGAGTTCAGAATAGGAGAGGAGACGCCATATGGAGTAGGCTATTTCTGGTTAAATACCGAGCACCTCCAGAATCAACAAGTGAGAGAATGGGTTACTTCCTTCTGGGATAGATGGACTACGAGAAAGGAGCAGTTCACTACAACAGCAGACTGATGGGAAACAGGCTTAGGGATACTGTCAAAGTTGTCGAGTGTCTATTCAAGAACACTGGCGATAGAACACCACAAAGAAGAATCTAAGTGCATGAGGAGGATAGAGTACGCAGAAGAGAGGATGAAAACACACCCAATCTCGGAGTTAGTATGGGAAAAAGAAAGAAAGAGAAGAATGAAAGATTGGGACAGAATGCAACAAGAAAACTCAGACAGATTGGTGGAGCGGTTGAAGGTTAAGGGACTGGTGGTTTATGATAGAATGACGAAGGACTCCTTTCAAAAACTATTGCTCATAAGACAATCTCAGCCTCTGAAAGAGCTATCATATCCTTTATGCGACTCCGAACCAACAACAACGCTTCCGGAGGAACTTTGCAGATACGTCGCCTACTACTATCAGGACATCCTAACTTCGAGAAGACCACAGAAGGGAGCAAATACGGACCTATCACTCTACAATAATCATTGGACTAATTTCAGGAGGAGACTCCCAGCTCATGGGAGGCTGGACCTAGATAGACCAGTGACAACTGAAGAAGCTAAGGCGACTCTGAACTTAATGGCAAAAGGGAAGGTACCTAGGGAGGACGGGTTACCAGTAGAATTCTTCCAAACCTTTTGGGCATCGATAGAAAAAGTTATGGTAGAGATCTATAACGAAATTCTGGTTGGGGGGAAACTCCCACACAGTGCCCACAAGGGAAGTATCTTTATGCTATATAAGAAGGGTAATAGGGACGATATCCGTAACTGGCGCCCAATTTTCCTCCTTAAAGTAGTGTACAAAATTCTGGCCAAAACCTTGGCCAGACGTCTTGCCAGGTATCTCCCATAACTGATCCTGGAGGATCAGGCGGCGTTTGTCAGAGGACGCTCCATTCTGGATAACATTGTTACAGCAATAGAGGCGATGGAGCTGATACAAAAGGAAAACAGAGACTTTGCAATGATTCTACTTGACATGGAAAACGCGTATGACCGGGTCAACTGGTCATATGTCTTGACCACGTTGCGCTGATTAGAATTCGGCGAAAACTTCTGTCAATGGGTCGTAGTGCTGTACTCCTTCTCCACAGCGGCAGTCATGGTGAACGGTCACTTCTCAAAAACATTTCCCCTCTCTCGTTCCCTCCGATAAGGCTGCCCATTGGCGCCTCTTTTGTTTGTAGTGCCATTAGAAATAGTCTTATGAAATATCCGCAGTAGTGTAGCAATAGGAGGGCTACCCACCTGAGGACAGAACTGTCGGGTCAAGGCGTTAGCAGACGACTTATTCGCGGTAGCAAAAAACACGGAGGACTCGCTTCGAGCACTGAGGCTGTGCCTGAAAGAATACGATGAGGTATCTGAAGCGGCCATAAATTGGTCGAAGTCGGCCTTCCTACTCCTAAGCTCATTCAACATCAAAGTAAAGTGGGGCATGAAGCGCATCCCGGATCATCAATCGGAAAGATTTTTGGGGCTCCAACTGACTCTTCTTTCCTGCGCAGCAGACCAGGACGAACTTCTGCAACAGAAAGTGGTAAACCGGGTTTCCACATGGGGGAAAACCCTGCACCTATCTTTGATGGGAAGGGCTTTGGTTGTTAACGTGGCACTGTTTGCCCTGCTGTGGTACGTCGGAAAGATCCGACCCCTGGGCCGGAAAGCAAGAACAGTTATCAAGCGCCGCTCCACTCGCTTCATCTGGAAACCATATGCGAAAGAAGGTGATGGATGCATGTCCAAGGTGGCATGGGATCAGATCTGCTTCCAGCGGAAGAAAGGAGGGTTGGGTCTCAGAGACCCAGACAGACAAAACACGACCATGTTGGCCAACTAGGTAACCAAGGCCATTTGCTCAACAGAAGAACAACATTGAATACTTCTCGCAGAAGAATTACTGGCGAAGGCCTGGAACCTCCGGCGCCCAGAAGATGTTTGGGCATGCATCTGGGTGGACTCCTATCTGCGAAGACAATGCTCATCGGAGTTCTGGACAGACATCTTAAAGGCATGGAGGAAAGTAAAACCGGAAAAGTGGACGCTACCGGTGACCAAACAAGAGGTACTCTTGCAGATCATCTTCGAAAACCTGCACATCAGAACATAGTCAGGGGAATGGATCACAACAAATAGAACAAAGGAAAGCTTCGAAAGAGCTTGGATAAAAAGAAGAGTGGTGAGGATCAAGGATCTCTGGTACGAGTACCGGTGAGACTGGATTCCAATAGGGGATATGATGGAGAAGTTGGAAGGCCTAAAAGGAATAGAAGGAAAACTGATGCAAATAAAGGAAGCTACTCCAGCGGAGTGGAGACACTTACTCAGTCCGGCAGGAGTGAACCCATTGGGCACATGGTTCGTGAACCAGGCAGAAGCACAACCGAATACTTTTTGGAAACTCGTAGAGTATGGAACACAAGGAAAAAGGAAGTTTCAACAATGGACCAGAGCAGGCCAACAATCATCAGTCAAACTCATACAACTGGAAGAAGGGGAAGGCCTCCCCCATCCCCCAGCGGTGCTGACACAGATTAGAACCAAGGAGAGCTGCGACGATGCAGGCCAATGGACAGTGGAACTAAGCGCAAAAGGGCGCCCGTTATCGGTCTGTCCCCTCCCCACACCCGCTAGCTTAGATCAATCCGACGGGGGGCGGCTTCTAGGTCCCCTGGTTCTCTACAACGACCCTGGTGGGGTCAACGACCCTGGTGGGGTCAACGACCGTTATCGTTCCCAAGTGCCTTCTTTAAGGTGAGGAGCGGCCTCCCCTCTTAATCGCCTGTTGTAACGGCGGCTGCACCCGACGTGGGCATGGTTCTTCGCCCCCTCCCCTTTTTGCACTTTCTCACGGAGGCAATGATAAGGTCCGCGGTCGGCGCTCGGCCCCTCCCTAGTGGCTTTTGCACTACGCTCTGGCCATTTTGAGGAGGTCAGTTTCTGAACTGGTCCTTACCGTGATCTTAAGTGTGGCACGGCGAGGGTAAAGAACTCTCGCCTAGTGCTCGTAGAGAGCCTCATCAGGAGTCCGTTCGCAGTTCAGTGGATTTGAGGCATCCTAGGTAGCCTGAGGAAGGCACCGAACCTGGAGTGTAATGGGCTCATCACTAGGAAAGGAGACGCGACAGATCGGAGAGTGGGAAGTAAAACTTGCAGCCAGAGACTCGTAACCTCCAAAATTCGATCATCCCGCGAGCTCACGCATCAGCGGGCTCGTAAGAAGAACTCGCGACCCGAACCGCAAACTTAGAACGACCAGGGAGCTCACTGGGAGGACACGCATCCAAGCACAATAGGGTGGACAACGAGCTCGCGAGAAAACTTGCAATAGAGAAAACAACGAGTTTGCAAGAAGCGCTCACTTTTGGAGAGGAAGCCTGCGATCGACAAGGAGAGTAACCGGCGAGCTCAAGGAAGTGCTCTCAACCAGTACAGATTATCCAACGAGCTCAAAGACGCAGTCACAACAAGAACAACGAAAATATAGTAACCAACGAGCTTAGAACGGTGAACAATAGAGTTGCCGGCGACCGAAAATAGAGTAACCAGCGAGCTCAGAATAGCCTAACCAGCGAGCTCAATGAAGTAAGCGTTCTCAACCCGAACAACGAAAATATAGTGACCAACGAGCTCAGGACAACGAAAATAGAGTGACCAGCGACCTAAAAAAGAGTAACTTGCGAGCTTAGAATAGCCTAACCAAGGAGCTCAAAGAAGTTTTCTCGACCAAAGCAGCGAGAATGGAGTAACCGTCGAGCTCGAAGAAGTGTTCTCAACCCGAACAACGGAAATATAGTAGCCCGCGAGCTTAGGACGGCGGAATTAAAGTAACCTGCGAGCTTAGAAAAG